ATTTTGTATTAATATCGGCAATAGCGAAACACGTCAGTACAATTGTGTTTATTATTCAATGTCGACCTTACCTATCCCGTTTGGAATTTAAGACATTGGTTTATTGGTTTCTCGATCGATGATTGGTTTTGTTAATTGATGTTCTCGTCCACGAATCCACCCCTCTCTCCACGACCCGCACACTGAGCAGCCGAGTAAATCCCGTACCCTCGTAATCCACATTTCTGCGTATGGTTTGCGATATGTTTCTTGTCGTTATTGGATTTTTGGGGACAATCAGTATTTAGTTTTAAGAAAATACAGTTCCGTTTGCGGTTTGTCGATTCCGCGTTGCTAAAAATCGGTTGGCGCCCTAAATACACGAAGTAAGGATTGGATGAGCTGCTGATTGTTCCCGGAGTCGAGTTTTAGCGTTAAGGTTTTTGGCGTTTCAGACTTGTCGGATTGCGAGAACGAAGGTAATGAGATGGCCGTGTTTGGATAATCGAGACTTCTGGGTTAGGGTTTATTGAGTATTTGTTGAGGCCAAAGAAAAATCATTACACATCTCGTTAAATATAGTTAAAGCTAGCACGTGTAAATAATTGACTTTTTCATAATTAAATTGACTATTGTGACCAACGTGCACGTGTTGTGTTTTCTGGACCTTCTCGCGCTCCCGTAGAAATCCATCGTTTTTTTGCCCATCGCTCAGAAATATTTCCCAAATCAGACTCGGCATCGAACATTTTGGTCCTTCGAGCCGGATAGGTGGAATAGTTTTCGGTTTTTTGTGTTTTTTCGCGGTATCCGTGTTTTTCGCGGGAGTACGGGGACGCCAGTGCAGTGCCGTAATACCTGATCGGAGGGCCCCGCACCAGTGGTCCTACTTATCAGGGACGTGTCGATCCCGTTCATCGCCCCACCCCTGGGTACTCCGTCTTCTACCTACCTCAGGGTATTACAGACCTGCGCTGAAGGAGGTGGATTATCGTGCAGCTCGCTCAAAAAGGGAAGTCAAATTAATTACAATTTTTTGCGCTTCTCTGGAGTTTTGCTGATTTTTCCTCAAGTTCGGCTGCATGTGATTTTTTTTTTTTTCTTGATTTAACGCTTTTTGGATCTGCGGTGGAGTTTTGGACTACGCTTTGTTTTTCGCATATTGCTTTTTCTTGCTTTTTGACCTGCGTCNATTTTTGCGCTTCTCTGGGGTTTTGCTGATTTTTCCTCAAGTTCGGCTGCATGTGATTTATTCTTTTTTTTTCGATTTATTTACGCTTATTATTAACGCTTTTTGGATCTGCGCTGGAGTTCTGGGCTACGCTTTGTTTTCCGCATATTGCTTTTTCTTGCTTTTTGACCTGAATCCTTGGCTCTTTGTTTATTTTTGAGCATCTCTCCTGGCACGTTCGCTTATTGTTTCTTTTTTAGTTTTTCGCAGCAGTCGAGCGAGATTGTGGTTTTTCTTGTTGGTTTTCTTTCTCTNTCAAAAGGTGCTCAACCTGTTCTCAACGCATCGCTTCAGGAAACTGCCTTATCGACACGCGGGAAAATTCAAACGGAGCTTCTCGTCTAAAAGGGAAGTCAAATTAATTACAATTTTTGCGCTTCTCTGGGGTTTTGCTGATTTTTCCTCAAGTTCGGCTGCATGTGATTTATTCTTTTTTTTTCGATTTATTTACGCTTATTATTAACGCTTTTTGGATCTGCGCTGGAGTTCTGGGCTACGCTTTGTTTTCCGCATATTGCTTTTTCTTGCTTTTTGACCTGAATCCTTGGCTCTTTGTTTATTTTTGAGCATCTCTCCTGGCACGTTCGCTTATTGTTTCTTTTTTAGTTTTTCGCAGCAGTTGATCGAGGTTGTGGTTTTTCTTGTTGGTTTTCTTTCTTTTTTTGTTGACAATTCCACAAGATGGCAACTCTCGAAGCGCTGATCTCGCTGCAGATGACACGTGCATCCTTCATCGACGGCATTTACACGGAGTTACAGGAGGAGAGCATCCAGCAGTTCGGAGTGACGGCTCTGGATTCCAAGCTCGTCATGCTGGAAACGTATTGGGCGAAGCTGGAAGCGTCTCATGAGAAACTCGTCGGCCAGAAGATCGAGAATTTGACCTCTCTCGATTATTTTAAGAATCAGGTCTTCGATGTCGCGCTTAAGCATTACGCTTCAGGTAGAGTAGCGCTGCTGCAGCTGTTGGAGAAGAAGGGGGCTCCTAACCTCAACCAATCGGTTCGAGTTCCTGGCGACGCGCAACTACAGAGTTCAACGCGCAGAGCTCTTCCGGAGATTGAGTTGCCGAAGTTCTCTGGAGTGTATAAGGAGTGGAGGCCATGGAGAGACCTTTTCCATTCGCTGGCCGGGAATAATCTGGAGATTCCTGGGGTCGAGCGAATGTACTACCTCCGTCTCCATCTCTCCAATGAGCCGTTGAAGCTCATCTCTAATTTGCCCGTCTCTGAAGATTCCTTCGGCATCGCATGGAGAATCTTGGTCGATCGATACGAGAACAAGCGCTTATTGATTGCAGCTCACCTTGACCCGCTTCTCAATCCTGCTCCGATGAAGATGCACGGTGCCTCAGACCTTAATTTATTGACGAGCTCCGTTTCTGAGGCACTCAGCGGGAAAATAAAAGAGTGCAAAGAGGCATGGGAAAATAAAATCGGAGCATCGACTGAGTATCCGACGCCTGAACATCTCCTCGATTTCCTGCAAGGTCGTTCACGAGCCACGGAAACCTTGGAAGTTGGGTCTTCGGTGCATACATCGAACGACGCCTCTCGTCCTTCGCAGCCTAGCGTCCAGACTGGTTCGATGACCAAGAGTAGTGCCAAGGTCAATCAAGCCTCGGTGTCTTCGCATGCGCAGCAGTCAGCTCAGAAATCTCCCAGTCCAGCGCAAATACAGTCCACAAAGTCGACGTCCTGGGCCGACGCGGGCTATCCTTGTTCCTACTGCAAGATGGATCACAATATCGCTTCCTGTAGCGGGTTCAAGTCACTTACACCAACAGCAAGGAAGGAGGTTGTCGAGCGACTCTATCTGTGCTACAACTGTCCGGGGAAGCACAGTATCAGAGTCTGCCAGACCACTCGAACGTGCAGGACATGCCAGGAGAGGCACCATTCCCTGCTGCATTTTGATCGCGCTCGTCGTCCAGCTCAACGTGGTCCAGCATCTCAAGTCCCTCGCAACGATGCAGGAGCTCAGCGCCCGAGTGCTTCTGCTCCATCGACCAACGTGCCTGTCGTGACGTACACTCACACCGGTGATGCTGCTCAGGCTGCGTCTTCAGCCCACTCTCAGGCCTGAAGCGGACCGTCCCAAGCGTCGATTCCTTGTTCAGCCCATAGTTGTTCTGCGCAAACCTCTCGGCCTGGAGTCCTTCTCGCAACTTGTTTAGCTCTTTTAGTGAGCGATTATTGCTCTCCGCATCAAGTTCGACTCTTGTTGGATTCAGGCTCCGAACTCTCGCTCATCTCAGATCAACTAGTTCGAAAGGTGAATTTAAAGAAAACTCGTAGTTCTGTCTACATAACAGGAGTGGGAGGATCATCGTCTGGGACAACGACCGGCGAAGTACATCTCACGCTGCAATCGATCCACTCAGAAGAACGCATTGAAGTTACAGCTCACTCCCTTGAACGTCTCACCTCAACGCTANGAACGTGCAGGACATGCCAGGAGAGGCACCATTCCCTGCTGCATTTTGATCGCGCTCGTCGTCCAGCTCAACGTGGTCCAGCATCTCAAGTCCCTTGCAACGATGCAGCAGCTCAGCGCCCGAGTGCTTCTGCTCCATCGACCAACATGCCTGTCGTGACGTACACTCACACCGATGATGCTGCTCACGCTGCGTCTTCAGCCCATCCTCAGGCCTGAAGCGGACCGTCCCAAGCGTCGATTCCTTGTTCAGCCCATAGTTGTTCTGCGCAAACCTCTCGGCCTGGAGTCCTTCTCGCAACTTGTTTAGCTCTTCTAGTGAGCGATTATTGCCCTCCGCATCAAGTTCGACTCTTGTTGGATTCAGGCTCCGAACTCTCGCTCATCTCAGATCAACTAGTTCGGAAGGTGAATTTAAAGAAAACTCGTAGTTCTGTCTACATAACAGGAGTGGGAGGATCATCGTCTGGGACAACGACCGGCGAAGTACATCTCACGCTGCAATCGATCCACTCAGAAGAACGCATTGAAGTTACAGCTCACTCCCTTGAACGTCTCACCTCAACGCTACCGTCCTTCTCAGCAGAGGGCCTCAAGTGGGATCATATCGAGGGTTTAGAGCTTGCTGATCCTCATTTCCGAGTCTCTGCACCAATTGACCTTCTCGTCGGTGCTGATGTTTTTGGTCAGGTCATCAAGCCCAACGTGATTAGAGGAGGGGTTCAGGCTCCAGTCGCTCAACTCACCAGCTTTGGCTGGATTGTTTACGGGCCAGCGGGACCTGATCAACCAACATCTTGCTCTTCTCATCACCTGAGCGTATCGAACGACGAGCTCAACGACCTTCTCACGAAGTTTTGGGTTCAGGAGGAAGTTCCTGGGCGCACTGACGCGAATCTCTCAACGGAAGAATTAGAGTGTGAACGCCACTTCCGTCAGACTCACTCAAGAGATAGCTCAGGTCGATATGTCGTTCGTTTGCCCTTCTCAGCTCCAGTTTCGTCATTAGGGAATTCCTATCGTCCAGCGCTAGCTTGTCTTCATCGTATGCTCGCGAGAATCTCAAAAGATGAGCGCTTTCTCCAGCTTTACTCTGGCTTTCTCAAGGAGTATGAGGATCTCGACCATATGAGATTAGTAACTCGCTCGACTCATCGCTCTTCGTCTTCGGTTCAGGCGGATTCCGCTTGTCGTTCTGACGAGACGACCTTAGCACATGAAGCGCAAACTTCAGGAGAGTTGAGGGTATCTGAAGGGCTTCAGGTAGGGCCGTCTGACGCTCAAAGGAGTTACTATCTACCTCATCATGGTGTAGTCAGAGAGAGCAGTGAAACGACGAAACTGAGAGTAGTGTTCAACGGATCAGCGAAGACCAGTTCAGGGAACTCACTCAACGACATTCTCCACATAGGAGCCAAGTTGCAGAGGGATATCTCGGACGTGCTGCTCTGGTCAAGACAGCACAAAGTCATCTTCATGACGGACATCACCAAGATGGTCAAGAAGTTTGTGATCTCTGCGCTGCTGGAGGAATGCCTCTGGCAAAATGGCATAGTAATAGTCCAGCGCTACTCCAGTGGCTCGCTCCTGATAGTGCCTCCAATGACCAGCGAGTTTATGAGGATTCGGAGACCCAGATTCTTGGCTTATCGTGGCAGCCCAGCTCGGATAACTTCGTCTTCTCAAGTCAGACCAGCGATGAATCGAAGGTTTCTAAGAGGAATATCCTCTCAGAAATCGCTCAGATCTATGACCAACTCAGATTTCTATCTCCTGTCATGATCAGAAGGAAACTGCTCATGCAGGAGACTTGGATTGGAAAACTCGGTTGGGATGAGGAAGTCCCAGAACAAGTTGCCCAGCGTTGGAAAAGTTTTCGAAATGATCTCACTCTGCTCTCGAAGTTATCTGTACCAAGATGCTTAGGCCTTCTCCAGAACTCGTCGATTGAAATCCATGGATTCTCAGATGCTTCTGTTCTCGCAATGTCAGCCGTAGTCTATCTCAAAATCGTTAATGGAGATGAAGAGTCTCGGATTTCTTTGGTCTGCGCTAAAACGAAAGTAGCTCCTCTCAAACGGCTGACAATCCCAAGGCTAGAGCTCACAGCTGCGGTTATGCTTGCCAAACTCGTAAAGTACGTGAAAGGAGAGCTCAATCTCTCGAACGCTCCGACGTTTTTATGGACCGACTCCTCAGTTGCGCTTACGTGGATCAACTCGCACCCATCCAGATGGAAAGAGTTCGTGAGAAATCGTGTCCAACTCATACAAGAGACCTCACGAGCTCAATGGAAACTCGTTCCTGGCAAGGAAAACCCAGCTGACTGCGCATCTCGTGGACTAACGACAGCGCAGCTCTCTGCACATGAACTCTGGTGGCACGGACCACCGTGGCTCATGAAAAGTTCATCGTCGTGGCCATCTCTAGAGCTTGCTTCAGTGACATCAGCAGATCTTGAAGAGAAACCTGGTGTCGTTCTGAGCGTGAAGGTCCAGCGCATAGAGATTTGGGTTTTAATTCATCGCTATTCTTCACTCAACAGATTGCTTTGAATTACGGCCATCTGCCNTGGCGCGGACCACCGTGGCTCATGAAAAGCTCATCGTCGTGGCCATCTCTAGAGCTTGCTTCAGTGACATCAGCAGATCTTGAGGAGAAACCTGGTGTCGTTCTGAACGTGAAGGTCCAGCGCATAGAGATTTGGGATTTAGTTCATCGCTATTCTTCACTCAACAGATTGCTTCGAATTACGGCCATTTGCCAACGCGTCATTGCTCGTCTCAGAAGAATTACTGGATCATCGTTAGCAACAGCTCTGAACCCTGGTGACATCGAGCAGGCCCGACTGCTTTGGGTTAAGCTCACTCAGTCCGCGCATTTTTCAGCTGAGCTTACGACATTGTCCAGAGGGCAACGTCTTAGTTCGTCTCACTCGCTCACTCGATTGACAGCGTTCCTGGACCACCGGGGAGTTCTACGCGTTGGAGGGCGCCTGAAATTTGCTCAGCTTGACTGCGAAAATAAGCATCAGATCATCCTACCTCGGGATTCGCAGTTCGCTCAGCACATCATTCGGGATGTNCAGAAGAATTACTGGATCATCGTTAGCAACAGCTCTGAACCCTGGTGACATCGAGCAGGCCCGACTGCTTTGGGTCAAGCTCACTCAGTCTGCGCATTTTTCAGCTGAGGTTACGACCTTGTCCAGAGGGCACCGTCTTAGTTCGTCTCACTCGCTCACTCGATTGACGGCGTTCCTGGACCACCAGGGAGTTCTACGCGTTGGAGGGCGCCTGAAATTTGCTCAGCTTGACTGCGAAAATAAGCATCAGATCATCGTACCTCGGGATTCGCAGTTCGCTCAGCTCATCATTCGGGATGCCCATCTCAGGACTCTGCATGGAGGAACGCAGCTGACTCTCGGTCAACTCAGAAGGTCTTACTGGATCCTCGGAGGAAGAGCCCCGGTAAGATCAGAGCTCAACAGCTCATGAGCCAGCTCCCAGTTGCTCGTCTCACACCTGGCCGAGCGTTCCTCAACACTGGAGTTGACTACGCCGGACCAGTGTCTCTCCGCTCGTGGAAGGGGCGTGGTCATAAGTCGTACAAGGGATGGCTCGCGATCTTCGTCTGNGGAGGGCGCCTGAAATTTGCTCAGCTTGACTGCGAAAATAAGCATCAGATCATCGTACCTCGGGATTCGCAGTTCGCTCAGCTCATCATTCGGGATGCCCATCTCAGGACTCTGCATGGAGGAACGCAGCTGACTCTCGGTCAACTCAGAAGGTCTTACTGGATCCTCGGAGGAAGAGCCCCGGTAAGATCATTCATCCTGAAGTGCGTTCCATGCGCCAGACAGCGAGGGATCAGAGCTCAACAGCTCATGGGCCAGCTCCCAGTTGCTCGTCTCACACCTGGCCGAGCGTTCCTCAACACTGGAGTTGACTACGCCGGACCAGTGTCTCTCCGCTCGTCGAAGGGGCGTGGTCATAAGTCGTTCAAGGAATGGCTCGCGATCTTCATCTCNAGGGATGGCTCGCGATCTTCGTCTGCATGACCACGTCCGCAGTCCATATTGAGGTCGTCTCAGATTACGCAGCCGATGGATTCATCGCTGCGTATCGTCGCTTTGTTGCCCGGCGTGGACTCTGCAAGAACTTGTTCTCAGACTGCGGAACGAACTTCTTGGGAGCCGACAAGGAACTGAAGAAGCTCTTCTCAATGGCGTCTAAGGAATCGAACAAACTAGCCCAACTCTTGCTCAGCGATGGAACCAGATGGTCTTTTAACCCTCCAGGTGCACCGCACTTTGGAGGCAAATGGGAAGCCGCGGTAAAGTCGGTGAAGTTCCATCTCATATGAACGATCGGCGATGCCCTATTGACCTACGAGGAACTCACTACTTTACTCGCGCAGATCGAAGCCGTGCTCAATTCACGACCACGGGAACCACTATCAGAGGATCCTGATGACGTCACCGCGCTCACACCAGATCATTTCCTGATTGGCCAGGNTCGCGACCACTGGAACCGCTATCAGAGGATCCTGATGACGTCAGCGCGCTCACACCAGGTCATTTCCTGATTGGCCAGGCCTTGACCTCCGTTCCTGACCCTTCGCTGGAGCATTTGAACGTCGCTCGCCTCTCTCGTTGGCAGCTTATCCAGCAGAAGGTTCAGTACTTCTGGAAGCAGTGGTCCACTAGCTACCTTCAGCATCTACAGTTCATCTCGAAGTGGCACCACCCATGTCACGACATTAGAATTGGTTCCATAGTCCTTCTCACCGACGAGAAGTTTCCACCAACGAAATGGCCTCTCGCTCGAGTCATCGCTCTCCACCCTGGTAGAGATGGACTCGCCAGGGTGGTCACCATTAAGACGTCCAGTTCTACTCTGCAACGGCCCATCTCGAAGCTCGCTCTACTGCCAGTCTCGACCAGCGACACTTAAGATCATCTCGACCAGCGATATCTAGGATCATCTCACGTGATGACAGCTCTGCATCATCGGGTTCATCATAGTCCATGTTCGGATTGGGTCATGGTGAGGATTTACGATCCTCTCTGTGGCAACTGGTCCGGAGTGGACGTGAGTCTGCCGGGGTCTGCCGGAATTTACGCCTCCTACGTCCTCGGCTGTACTCACACCTGACCGTCACTGGTGAACTACGATGGTGATATTGATCTTCGAGAAATCTTGTCCTGAGCTCGATTAATCTCTTTTTGTTTCAGACCAACTCAGTCACGTCAGCAGCTGCTGACGGCGGGGGAGAATGTTCGGTTTTCCACCGAATTGTTTTCCGCACACACGCACACTCACGCACACTCGCTCCTCTCGCATGCTTGCATGGCTTGTCAGGACTGACCTGCGCAACCGACTGAACTGACCAGTGGCCTCTCACCTCTGACACCTGAGGCGCCACTTGATGGGCAGGTGTCCAGCGAACGCCCCCATTTAAATTGGGGCACGTTTGGACCCACGATGATCGACACCTGCCACCTTGCGGTCTTTCAATCGGCCTCATTTGCATATCGGCCATCGTACAGTGTATATCACTTTTTCGCGAAGTCGCTACTGAGGCTACTTTGCTCAATTTCTTAGAACTAATTGCTCTGCGCTATCTAAATTCTGTGAACTGCGTTTATTTAATAATTTTGTGACCCGCGCATTTGTTTGACCATCTCGTTAATTATAGTTAAAGCTAGCACGTGTAAATAATTGACTTTTCCATAATTAAATTGACTATTGTGACCAACGTGCACGTGTTGAGTTTTCTGGATCTTCTCGCGCTCCCGTAGAAATCCATCGTTTTTTTGCCTATCGCTCAGAAATATTTCCCAAACCAGACTCGGCATCGAACACATTCAAAATATCTGAAAACATTTGAGAAATCCTCCGAAATTTCCAGAAACTTCCTTTTTAAGCGGTCTGTAAATTTGTAAATGTCCAAATTTCCCCAAATTCTTAACACATTCTTCAGTTTGTTTATAAACGCCCTAGAGAATCTGCAACTTGTGATCCCCTGTGACTTCCTGAAACCCCCCTCATGCTCCCTGTCTTTTTCTGTTTAAACCCTGAGACCCTGTTCTTTTTTTTGTTTAAACCTTGAGTCTCTCTTCTTTTTTTATTGAAACCTTGAGGTTCTCTTCTTTTTTTTTGTTTAAACCTGAAGGCTCGCTTCTTTTTTTGTTTAAACCTTGAGGCTCTCTTCTTTTTGTTTTGTTCAAACCTGGATGTTCTGCCGAAACAAAAAAGCAGAAGTCCAGGGGGCGCAGCGCCCCTGGCGGGGTCTAGGAGCGGAGCCCCGGAGGGCGGGCGGGGGTTGGGAGGGGGCTTCGCCCCCTCCCATTCAGGAGAAAATCATTCATTTTATTTATAAATAATAGAAAAACATACATAATAAAAAAACTTAATCCTTAGAAGTAGATGATAATTTCATGAAAACCAAAGAAAAAATAGATTTATTTCAGTCAAAAAAAAAAGAAAAGTTCTTCGAAATTTTTTTCAAATTTTTCAGTTTTTCCACTCATTAAAATGACTGATTTTTACGCTCACCCTTAAACCCCACCAATCCCCAACGCCCCAAGATTGTAAGTTAAAAGTTGGGAAAATATAAATTTTTTAGATTAAATTATCGAAAATTCAAATAAATAATCAAAATAGAATTTTTTATAATTTTTCCCGAATCCCTAAGGCAAAATACTTCAGGAAACAACCGTCAAATCGTGGCGCTGAAGGAATCGGAATCGTGCCCGGCCCGAGATGTCCGCAAAGAAGTACGGAGAAAGCACGCGGAAGGCTCACCTGCGGCAGAAGCTGAAAAATTGAAGAAGCTGAAGCAACAGGATCTGACCAGCACGACAGCCCCGCAGAGGGAGCTACCTGCTAATGGATCAGATTGGAAGCTGATTGAGGCTAAGAAAGGAACGAAAAAACAAGATGAGAAGCAGCTTCGAAAGCCACCCTCCGAGAAGAAAGACTCTGAGGCAGGAGAGGAACCGTTGAAAATTAGCGCCAAGACCTGTTACCCTGATTGTCCGACCCAAGGACAAGGAAAAATACTCGGAGATGCTACGCCGAGTAAAGAAAGATGTTCCTTCCGAGCAAGCTCGAGATTGTGTCGAGAAGATCCGTCGGACAGCGACCGGGGATATGTTGAGCATCCTGAGCAAGAAGACGACCAACGGAGCCCCCCGCATCAAACGGTGCGGGAGCTAACGGTGGACCTCGTCATGATCTCAGAGCCATATCGTCCTCTGGACACTCAACCCTGGGTTACTGACGTCACCAAGAAGGCTGTAATCTGGTCTTGTGGGAGCCAACCTTTTCAGAGTACCATGAGTGATAGCATACAAAATGGTTTTATGAGGGCTAAGGTTGATGGAATTCATTTCTACAGCTGTTACGCCCCACCGAGCCTCTGTAATGATGAGTTCACTGACTTCCTGGATAGACTAACTGAGCATGCGAAGCAGCACTTTCCCGTCGTAATAGCCGGGGACTTCAACGCCTGGACAGTCGACTGGGGAAGTAAGGAGACGAACATCAGAGGGCAAGCGCTTCTGGAAGCCATGTCATCGCTTGACGTGGTTCTGCTGAACAGCGGTGATGAACCGACGTTCATGAGGGGGAAGGCGAACTCAATTGTGGACCTTACGTTCATGAGCAGCAAACTTCTCATGGACAGTAACTGATATCTACACTGCAAGCGATCACCGTGAGCGTCTCTGGGAGACATGTACTGGCCAGAGAGTCGCCTTAGCGCCTAAGAAGATCAACAGCATTGGCTGGAGAGTGAGTACTTTCGATCCTAGCTCTTATTCAGCAGTATTGGACAACCGCTCGATCAGTGGCAGCAGTGCTACTGAAAAGGCGCGAAATATCATGAAAAGAGTAACGGAAGCATGTCATGCCACCATGACTAGGAAGCGGACAACAAACCGGCATCCACCAGTGTATTGGTGGAATGATACCATCGCCATTCTGCGGAAGGTGTGCAGTACAGCCAGGAGATTGTCTCAGCGTGGCCGAAAGAAGCCGAACTTTGGGAAGTTGCAGATGAGATACAAGAAGGTTCGTCGGAAATTCAGCGAAGCTATCAAGTGCAGCAAAAAGCAATGTTGAAGTG